GACTTGAACTGGACACTGTCCTCGGTGTCAATTCTCGTCTAGTAGAGGCAACCAATAAAATGAGTCAAAAGAGAAGAAAATCAAGAAGGAAAAAGAATACTTAGCTCGCGATGTTCGTTCACTCGCACTTAAGTCTGCCTACGTCTATCGCATAGCTAGCTTCCTCGCCTCCTCAATTCCTCATTAGAACTCAACCTGGTGATAAGAGACACAAACCAATATCCGATGCAAAAATAAACAGAAAAGAAAGAAAACTAACCTAAGGACTCGGGTTGCCTCCCGGGAGCGCTTGTTTAGGGTCTTTAGCTCGATCCATCTTACTCAAATAGGAGGGGGTTCTGGGGGAATGGGTCTTGGAGGAATGGTTTGAAGTGGAATGGGGTTGGATGAGACAAATTCAGCTGATTTGGTGTGGCTTCGATCGAAGTGATGTAGCTCTTGATTTACCTTACTGACCGACCGAAACTTGAGTGGTGGTAATTGGGGGTCAGCATGGAAGTCGGATGAAAGAGGTGGTGGATCTCTTTGAATATCAGTTTGGGGGACTGCTCGACTCGAGATGGGAATAGTCTCAGACGAGTAAACAACCAGTTCAACTTTATGTGATTTTACATCGAATTTTTGCTTTTGTGAACATGGTTGATCAAACTGAAAGTCTTTCTTGTGTTTCTTCAGGCGTGAAGGAAATGGAACCGGTGGTGGTCTTGGCGGTGGAGGCACATACTTTGGTTCTATCTCCTCACAATTCATGCTCAAATGCTCATCTGTGGTCAAAGAGTTAGGTTTATAATCCAAATACGCATTAGAACACTTATCTTTCTTGATGACGTGTTGTGTGCCTAACTCAGATTGCTCCACATCCTTCAGTGGTATGGTGTTAAGGTACTCTCCAGGATCAATTTCTGTTTGTTTCGTGAGAGTTTCTTGCGACCACACCGATGAGGAGATAAGATTAGCGAGTCGATTGTTAATGAGCTCGAGTCGCGAATTCACATCCCTCATGAAGCCCTTTAGCTCATTAAAAATGTTCTCCTGTTTCTGCAAAACCTGAATAAACATGTATTTTATATCAGAATCTACCTCTTGTTGAGTTTGAAGTAGTGGATAAGCGTATGCCTCCTGAGGTGGTTCTTCAAAATGGTAGTATGCCTCATAACCCTGATCGTAGTGAAATGGGGATCTAGGCTGATACGCTTGAAATTCATAGGATCCATGATTCTGGTGGTCATTGAAATCCCAATGTGGAGCATTTGGAGCATATGAGTCATAGGAGAAATTTGGATAGTTCGTCCAACCGGGATTAAAAGAGTTGTCATACAACACGTCGTTCATGAGATAGCTCATATCCATAATTCTCTACTCAT